CAAACTTGTAAACGAACATCAAAAATCACATTTACAAGTATAAAGATGTCAACAAATAAGTGTTTGGGAATGTAAAAATGAGTGGAGAGATATTGAATAAATATAAAGAGGCATAGAAAAGATTGTAGAGAGATATGGAGAAGAATATGGAGAGATAGGAAGAAGAATAGGGAGAAATATAGAAAAGAATATAGAAGCAAGTAAAGAGATATGTAAAATAATACAGGATAAATGTGAAGACACGATGCGGAATAAGAAAAATATGAAGACATCCAAAAAGTAAAAGTTATCTAAGAGATTTTTGGAATGTATGGAAAAATAGTAAAAGATATTTAAAAAATATAGAAAAAATATTTTAAAATATGTAGAGTGCGACAGAAAAGAAGCACAAAAATTTAAAGTAAAAAAATAAAGCTATAATGAAAAAAAAGAAATGACGAGAAAAAATATGAGAAGATATGACAAAAATGTAGAGATATGGAAACAGAGACAGAAAGGTAGAGAAAAATAAAGAGAAAAACATGTAAGAGGATTGTGGCACTTGACGTAATGGTGATGTTTATCGTTGTCGATCGAGATTCATGGAACCAGACCGATGTGATAAAGTCAGTATTGTAATGTAATGGTGATGGTGATGTAATGTGATGATGACGATGATGATGATTATAGTGGTGAGGCTGTTGTTGTTGTTATTGTTGCTGATGATGTGGTGATGGTAATGATGTTGTTTTTGTTGATGATAATGATGTCACGATGTGGTGATGGTAATGATGTTGTTGTTGTTGTTGTTGTTGTTGATGATGATGATGATGATGATGATGTATTGTTGATGATGATGATGCTGATAATGATGATGATATTTTTAATGATAATGATAAGAAAAGTTTAGATGTGATGATCATAATCAGGACGTTATTCGCAATGAAGATGATGTAGGCTTCATTATCCACGATGATGAAGATTGAATTGATGATGATAATTTTTGGATAGTATTGTTCGAGGGGAATGATTTGAATGTTGCTGCAACTGTTATGCGAGCAACATAATGATAATGATGTTTTTGGTGACGTGAAGATGTTGTTGTTGTTGTTGGTGATGGTGGTAATGATAGTGATGATATCGTGGTGATAACGTTAGTGATGATGATGAAAATAATGACGTTCCTAACGTTAATGACGAAATGATGAAAGCCGTCAAATGATGGTGACGTGGAAAAATTAGTTCCATGTCAGATTTGCAGAAACGATTTCAGAAATGTTGACAAAATAATTTGTAAAAGTAATTTCAAATATGATTAAAATTTGCTACAACTCATTCAATACATTGTGAAAAACAGATGAATGAATGACAATAGAAAAAACTATACAACATAGATCCGTGGCAGTCTGATGGCCAATTCATTCAATGATGTTGTTCACGGAGGGTCAAGACAATGATTGAAATACTGGACGCTATGGGAATAAAAATAATAAAAATTATTATAAATAATAATAATGACAACAACAACAACAAAAATAATAACTATAAAAACTATATTAATAGAAGGAATATGAATAGTAATAATAATAACAACAACAATGACATTAATAATGTGGGTGTGAGGTATTAGTGCTGATGTAGAATATATTATCAAGCAGTGATTACAATATTCGTCATACTGATAATAACATAAGGACGATGAAGACAAAAATGATAATGATGATATGATAGGGTTGATAATAACCACGACAAAGATACAAAAAACGATATAGATAGCAAGGAGGAAATAATTTGAGCTGGAAACTATGCATGTCAAAGATGACTATGTAGATGATGAATGCGAGCAGATGATGAAAACAAAACTGATAAGGCTTATGATAAGGATGCTATGTCTTTCTATATTAATTCATCAATCTTCCAACTCGTCCCATTATATTTTTCTCCATAAATCCTTATATTATCATGGGAAGACGTTTCTTCCAATAAATATAATTAAGCTTTTGCAATAGTTTCATCATCTACGAAGTTCAGTTCACAAATATTATTACGGTTACAATTTCGAATTCAGCAAATACTATGATATTTTCATTGTAATATTGTTATATTCAAGATTAATTTTTAAAAGTAAACAGTACCGAAAACAAACAATGAAATTTAAACCTAACTTAAATCTAATTCTACCATTACTAACAGTACAAATCACATCACACGATTGAAAATTAGTAACGTTTACAAATCAGAGGCAGCATTTTTGTTGAGCTGATGGAAAAAATTCTTAAAAGATTTTCAAAAAAATTTCGCACAGCAAAAATTCATCATCAGTTTGAAGATACTGCTTCTAGAAAATATGTATATACAACAAAAAATTGTAGCGGCAAAATTTCCATGTTGAGATAAATTTTCTGTTTGCAAAAAATTTTTCAAGAAGTTTTAAATATTCCAATTATTTCTTGATTCACTGCGTTTTTTTATTTTTAGAAGCTTCTAAAAAATTCAAAACAACAATTTGATGGATGAAAAATAAGTAAAACAATCTGTCAAGGTAAAAAAAATTATTTATAACGTGAAAATTTACAATGGTGAATAAATTATTGTTAACAAAAAACACACTGGCATATCAATCGTTTTTTCTATTTAATAAAAATTCAATTAAACTTACGAGGAAAAATTGTTAAGGGAATTTCATTCCATCTCTTAAATGAAAAATCTGTCACGCGACGGATGAAAGGAGACAAGAGGAGTGAAGATAAACGCAGCGCCAGCAGAAAGTGAAAAATCTCCTAGAAAAACAAAATGAAGAGTGAAAAGACGACACGAAGATGGAAAGAATGGAAAGGAAGAAGAAAAAAAAATAACAAGGACATACTTCTGAAAGTTTTATCCAACCGACTATAATGGTGCAAAAAGTCCATATTGCGGCGCTATGTCTCTTTAATTACCGTCCAATCAGAATCAGTCACGTGTTCGTCCATTGACCAATCGTAGCGTGATACGTCATCAAAAGAGAATAGGGGAAGTCTTATTAGGTTTTATTCAATTTAAAATTGCCACTATTTTATTATTTTTTCATTTTAATATATTAATTTAAACAAATAATTTGAACAAACTATATATTAAGCTGACAGGATTGAAGAGTGTGAAACATATTCGAGTAAAATGTGTGTATCATAAATATTCCGGATAAAAAAATTAACTGCTGAAAGAGTTAAGGATGCACTAAATACCAACTAACTGAGTGGTAGTTAGCATGGAAATGTTTACATTTTAACGTTATTTTGAAGAAATTGTTTAATTCATTTTGAACACGTTGGATAGTATCTACAAAATGGGATATTAAAAGTTGGATAATCATACATTAGCTCAAATGTAAAAATTGAGCTAATTGACAATTGACATTCCATACAATTAAAATTGTATGGAATGTCAGACATGTAAATGTAAATGATAAAACAATGTTATAATCTGAAAAATGTTTAAACGCTGGCTGGCTGTCTAGCTTGCTGGCTGGCTGTCTGGCTGAAAAGATAGATAAATGGATGAACAGATAGGTGGGATGATGAATAAATGTATAGATGGATAGATTTGAGAATGATTGGGTGGAAAAATGAGTGGATAGATAAATCGATGGATGAATGGATAGACAGATGGACGGATGGATAAATGAATGAATGGAAAACTAGATGGATAAACGAATGTACGCTCAGTTGGTTAAGTAGAAAGAAAAAGGGAGCCAACTTGCACTTGATCCATTGTCTCAACCTTCGACAGGTGCAAACAGGTGAGCAAAGTTTCAAGTGCTAATTGGTTGCTATGCTCAACTCAAATCACCGTCTTCATTAACGTCTTCATCGTCTTCAACGTCATCATTATCATCAAAATCATCATTATCATAACAACATCATCACCATCGCCATCATCATTCTCATTGTCGTCACCATAATCATCACTGTCATCTTCATTATCGCTCACTCACCATAATTTTAACAGTATTTCAGTAAAACTGTTGCGTAGTGAATTTTATTTTCTAAATAGCAGGTATTTTTTCATGTTTCCTTATTTTTTCTTGAGTTCAATACACAGTACTTTTTTTAATTTTTAACGTACTTACTTTAATAGTCATTGGCCAAAATTGAAGAACACCAACGACTCGACTGTTTGAAGACTGCCATCAGATGTTCTTTTGTATGTGTAAACATCTTTTTTTCTATTACTCTAATTCGTTCTTATAACCAGAAGCATCTAATCTACATTGAAGTTAAAGTCATGACGTGATAATTGTTGCGAGCGAGCGTCATTACGTCACTGTTTACCTGCAACTCTCCAACGTTTGTCGGCATTGTCGCTAACATCAATTTTCTTATCATCATAATTAGAATAAACATATAAATATAACAAGCTTCTTTATCATCACATCGCAATGGTCCTATCATCATTAAAGGCAGCATTTCTTATCTTTTTCATCATCGTCGTCGTCATCATCTCATCAATCGTCATCATTATCATCATCGCCATCATCGTCGTCGTCATCAGCAAAGAGAAACAACCTCACGGGCGATCAATTATTATTTATCAATTATTAATATTAAACTATTTCAATTCAATGACTTAGCTTTGGAAATTTTTAATAAACTTCTATCAAAATTATAAACACATGTGGTTGGGGATTAATGTCGAGCTGTGTGCGTCAGTTAGAAATTTCCGCGCCAAACATCTTTGAAAATAACGTTTCCTAAACTATGTAGCGTATGCAAGTTCGTAATAAATGCACGAAGGTTCAAGTTTGATATTACTCCACTGCGGCAAAAACCAATTTATTTTCATTCAACATCAATCCAAATTACCGTTTTTGAATCAATAATAATATGAATTCATACGAATAAACGAAACGAGACGAGATTTTTTTTAACAACAAGAACTGAAAATGTTGAAAAGAAAAATTTAAGAATTTGAATGAGTCTGGTTACAAAAACATTCATTTGATAACCGATCAAAAATTAAAACTGAAATGAATTTCATTATTGTTAAACGTGAGTCTCTGAAATTTTCATTTCATTTTTTGGGTTTGGTGTCGCGTTGGTGTTGGCAGTGTGGAACCTTGAATAGTTGAATTGTTGTGTTAGAGGTTGTTGGTTGTGTTGGGACTGGTTTTGATGGAGTTTGGAAATTTCAAGAGAAAATGAAGAGGAATGTTCAAGTTGGGATTTCAATCGTTGAGGCATTTGTTGTTGTTGTTGCTGTTGTTGTTGTTGCTGTTGCTGTGGCGTGTAAGTTTTTTGATAAAAGTTAGAGATTGGTTTCTGACGGAATGGATGTTGAAGATGTTGAAAATTTGACTTTTTTTGCAATTCCACAATCATATTTGAGCTAAACAGATGAGTGTCAGACGTATCGAATTGTGAATATTGATTATCTTTTAATTTAACACTGTTTATAAGAACTTGTTGAATGTAAGGGTTTCCTGTTCTAACAATGCTGCATTGGTGCTGCGGACAAATGTTCAGCGGGCAACAGACACTTCTGTCCGCCTGAGTTTTATTGAAAACATTAAAAGAAATTTTGTTTGCAGCTGTCGTAAATAAAGGGGTATTGAACATTTTCGTGGTTTTGTATTTTCCAGTCGCAACATTTGAAAACGTTTTATAACTATGAATGTCCCGCTCATTTTCATCAACTTCCATTTCGGAATCAACACTATTGTAACTTTCACCGTAGAAACGCTGGTAGTATTTGCCGAGAACCAAATCAACGTCATCTTCAACATCGTCTAACATGGTTCCGGAAGAACCTCCTCGTCGCTTGACAGTGGAGATGAGGTAGTAGCTGGCCGCGTTCAGGAGAAATACCACTGCAAGTGTGGCCGTGAGAAGAATGTAGAAGCCACTGATTGCGTTGTGGTAGACCTTTACGAACGGTCTCAACAACTGATTCATTTTTTTACTGTGTCTGAAGCTTATTTGGTTGCTGTTTTGCTTGTGGAAATAGAAAGTTTGAGGTTGTTTGTGTTGTGGCAATGTCAGTGGTTGGAGTAGAAGACTGGAGTGAATATGAGAAACTGGACTATGAAATTGGTTGGTACTATTAATAAATGGAGGTGTTGTTTCATCCTCGAGTTGTTGGTCTGGCTTGGATATTTTATTTACTCTATTCATGTTTTGACTGTGGTCAATGAAATGGTGTTCGGCCAAAAATATTTGATTGGCGTGATGATGAAAACGGTGTATGGTGTGTTGGACCGGCAGACCAGGTAGAGTTTTGACTCGTTGCGACATGAAATCGTCATGTTGCTGAAAGTTGTTGAGATCATCTTTGTTCAACTTTTGATCGTCAAATACAATGGTGTCGAGTGTTAGAAAAGCTGAGAGTAAAAATTTCAATACTTAATTTTTATCTAACATCTAATAAAAATTCAAAAAACTAAAAAAATAATAAATTAAATGAAGCATTTAATGATGATCTCGTTATTTTGTAATTAAAAAACATATTCAGGTTAGCTTTAAATGTCTTTATGTGCTTTTATAAAACTGAAAATATAAAGAAGTTATAAAAACCACCTGATGTCGTCACAAGATACATGTTCAACTGTGGAAAAGAACACGGAAAAAAATTGAATGAACGTGAAGAGGACCAAAACTGTGGATGCAATGATGAATGTGTCGGGAATGATGGAAGTGGCTGTGAAGATGTCGACGAGGAACGAACTCTGTTTGACAATTTTTCCAAGTTTCTGACATCTGAGATATTTTAAAAATTTCATTTGATGATAATGATATTGAACAGATTATTAGATTTTAGAATTTACAATAAATTAAATAATTATTAAAGAGTAAAGAATTGTTGTGGATCATTAATAAATGAGAGCGATCCAAATCCACTTACATCTTAGATTTGCATCGAATATATTTTTGAGCTCTCTCATTTCGAAATTTCTCAAATACTTGCCAGGTGCTATGATGCTATGTTGGAAACACTCGCTAATGTATGGAATAATTTCTTGACTGGTCTGCTGGCATGTCGTGCTGACGATGTTGTCGTAGCTAGAAACGAGACTCAGCTTATTAATTGTGGAGGGATGTATCGTCAACATCACAACTTTTAAAAGACAAATGAAAAATGTAAAGAGGGACAAAATTGATATTGTATAAACAAAGTTTTTATTCGCTAGATGCCTGTGTAGTGGAAAATTTTTTCTGAGCACATCAAGTGTGACCGGTCTTCGCAATGTTTTTCGCCTATCCGACGGTGCTGGGCTGAAAAAACAACAGTGCCGTTCCTTGTCCATCTTGTAGTTGTCCTGGCAACATCCGTTGAAACAACGGCAGCACCTGCATTCTGAGTTATTCATGGATGTCACGTCATCTTCAGTCACGTGGCATTCCATTTTTTTATGATCGTCATCTGGACAGAATGGGCATTTTGTAAGGTACTCATTTGAATTTACTTTGTTTTGTTGATTATCCACGTACGATTTTATAGTTTTAGTTTGGCTGTAAAAGGTCAGAAACTGTTTGAGAATGATGGCGTTGTTTGTGGCTTTTGTCAGCCTCTGGAGAAAGAGTGCGACGTCCAAGAAAAAGCAAACAATGGCGACTAAAAACCATTTTTCTTTTAAAAACTCACCAATGGTGAAAGTATTTTGGTCGGTTGTTAATATAATTGGAATCGTACGTTCAATATGTTTGTCAGTTTTGTTTCGAATAACATTGCCGTTATAAAAATTCTCATTACTGTTAGCATCATCGTCGACGTCGTCATCGTCACCATTAGTATTAAAATCAGCAGTTACTCGATTTAGCATTCTGTTCAGCAAATTTTTGGACGTCTGTTTGACGCCATTTCCATGCGAAATGGCGCCTTTTACGCCGACATCCGCTTGAAAATATCGCCTGCTCGTTAACAGAGAGGATATAAATAGCTCCGTTCTTGTTAAAAAAACTGCTTCGCTGCTGTTATCAATGGTTAGATCTTCAGGTTCGTCGTCAGTTTTTTTGGATCTGTGCTTCACGCTGTCGTCAATTTTATCTTTATCAGAAGTATTTTTGTCGTCGTTGTTGCTGTTGTTTTTGTTGTTGTCGGCAAGTAGATTGTCGTAGTTTTGCATGTTGTTGTTGTTGTTGTTGTTCGCGTTGTAGATCAAAATATTTTTAAACTGATCAAAGTCTGATATAGAATAGTGATTGATATTTGAGATTACAAAATCGTTTGGATGGCTGTTTGAGAGTATGTTTGTTACTGAATTGTGGTCCTCATATCCCATTACATTATTATAATTCAGATTATTTTTTGCATTGCCATTGTTGTTGTTATTTTTGTTATAATAATTTATGACGTTGTTGTTGTTGTTGTTGTTGTGATTGTTTCCGTTGTTTATATTTTTTCCACTTCTGAAGCGCTGCTCCTTGAATGTTCGGTCAATTCGGTTGAGATGTAAAAATAATTTTATGGCTGCAATGACTTTCATGTTTTGTTCGTTTGGTAATTGTAGCCAATCTTGTTGTTGTTGTTGTTTTTGAAGAACGTGATATCGATCTTTCAATAAAGAACCATGTTCCGAAGCGAATAAATAATTTGATTTATTGATATTGATGTTTATGCTATCGGAGACTAATTTACTGAACTGCCGCTTAAATCTGAATCGTGCAAAAATAATTTTCAAGATTTTATCGGGGAAATAAATATCTGAACATCAATAAAATTTGCATGAAGAACATTAAGGTTGATTTTGTTTCTAAATGTAATTCGAATTTTTTTATTTAAATGCTTAAATAACAATTGAAGTATCTTTCTTCATTAATTTCATTTTACACAATCTCAAGTAATATGTGAAATTTTTAATCAAGTAGAATTCGTTTACGAAACTAATTTTATTAAACTACTTGATGAAAATTAATAAAAAAATTCAAGATAAAAATGATTTTTTCCAAATGAGTTGTTGACACAAACCTCTTATAGAAGACATCGAGCCACAGATGAACATCCAGAATTTCATCAGCTTCTAGTAACTTTCCAAGAGTCACTTTCAATCTTAGACGATCGTTCAAAGTTTTTACTTTCAGTTCATTCACAGTCTCGTCATCGCCGTCCAAATAATGGAAACTGATGAATTTTTTTACATTTGTAATCTGATAATTTTGAATAGTGTATGCACTGAGTTTTAAATTATTGTTAATTCTGTTTGCAATGTTTAGCCAATCAGATCTGAGAAGTTTGGACAAATATTGTTGATAATGACTGTACGGAGAGAGGCATAAGTTAATCACTTTCTCTTTCAGCGAAGAAGAAAGAAAATGAACCGATGCCCTCGAATATTGAGACAAATATTTTAATAACATTCTTGTCTGTGATAGAAAATACAAATTTTTCAAGTAAAACGTTTTGAGAGCAACTCTCTTCTGTGCGTTATTTTGATCTGTAATTTTAAATTCCGACTGAATGACGGTGGCAACGTTAGCAATGTAATGAAGCTCGCAAGTTCTAATCAGTTTAACAGCTTTCGTGAAGAAATCATCGGTCGCCGTTATGCTGATTCTATTTTCTCTTTCTAAAACAAGCTCCGAGAAATTAGTTATGACCACGGAAAAATTGTTTATATCAAAATAAAACAGATCATTGTAGACAATGGATGCAAAGAAAGTTAAAAAGACAGAGAATGTGAAGAGGAGACTGTACACAACCCAGAACATAATGTAGAAGGTGAGGACCATTGTTACACATTTCTTATTGATGCTGCTGCTGTTGCACTTCATGAACTCTTTGTTTCTCTTACAATTTCCTACTTTCAACTGCCCCTCCATGCAATAATTTGGATTGTCAAATTGAACGTTTCGCTGTTGATGTTTTGTTGAAAGGGTGTCTGAAGATTTACTTCTTGCAAGTGAAGATTGTTGTTTGTGATAATTTTTAATATTATCGCTAGAATATTTGAGTGGATTGGTTGGCTTGCATTGGTAGAAAGGAAGCAAATTGCATTGTTCGCCGCACGCCGCTCTCATGGCGAATGAAGTGCTCGAGACGTTTTTATTTTCATCAGCAACCTGTTGGTACATTCTGTTCTGATCATTTATTTTCATGCATTGATGGTGGGGATGATGATGCGCGTGAGTGGGAGCATGTCTGTAACAACCTTTATGAGTTGATGGTTTTTTCATGCGAACAAACATGCAAAACAAAGTGAGTATCGTCTGGAGAAATATGACGGAGATGCATATCAATGAGATTGTCTTCTGTAGTTTTGATTGCAAGAAATTCATCTCCCTATTCAGTGGGGTTTGGTGCTGCGAACTGTTAAAATAATTACTGTCTTCATCATTTATTCCTAAAATATTCGTTCTGTTTTTGATGTTTTTGTCGTCCTTGTTATTGTAGTTAAAGTTTGTGTCTAACAGTGAGTTCATTTCACTATTGCTTCTTGGTGAATTTTTCTCAAAGTTCTGTAGTTTAAAGTTTTCAAAAGTGAATGTTAAAATAGAATTTACAGTTATTGAAAGACAAAACTAAACATTTATAAAAGTAATCTAACGCTAACCTGAATGTAAACCAGAGTGAATGTTTCAACATAAAATTTTGATTCTCCGTTGTTCCACATACTGTCACTGCTGGAGAAACCTTCTTTTTCAAAATTTTTAAACTTATTCACGGAAGATTTTATGGCCAGTACATAGGAATCAAATGTCCTGAAGGTTGGTTTGTCCCTGAATGCCAGGGTGTAGTTGAATGTGGGTGGGCAAGACACGTACAGGTCAACCTCATGGAATGCTTCTTTGAAAGGTTCTTTCCGGACATTCAACTGCACGTATGTTGGACAGGATGATAAATTACCTGAGTGTGTGAATTTAAGGAAATTATTTTATGGCCTGGTTCGTGCTAGTTCAAAAAAGTTCATGACACAATGATGCAATAGAAGAAATCACTTAAATAATAATTTTATACCATCACTGCTGTAAGAACTCTGAATAAAATTAAACAAACGTGTACTTTTTCATTATTCCATTTGTAATTATTCCAACATAGTTCAAATTATTTTATTAATTAGTGAAAAATAGTAAAAAAATAAATTAACCTGCCAACATTCTATGGCAATACAATCGAAATGACTTAAATAAAATTCAAAATCATATCTTTTCACCAACCATAAAAAATATTTCAGGTTAGGACAACACAACACACTCACTCAATCTTAGATAGAGCTCATCATTCTAGCAAAATACAAATGCGCCGTGCTACCGCCCAGCAAACTTCAACAGAACAGAACGACAAACATGACCCACAAAATTTTCTTGCGCCTGTTTCCACTCAACTAAACCAACGTCGATGTCTTCATATGGACGTCATATAACGAGACAGTTTATAACGAGACAACATATACCGAGACAGAATACGACGAGTATGTATATAACAAGACAGAAATAGCGAGACAAGATAAACCGAGGCAGGATATAACGAGATAAGATGTGGATAGATATAACGGGACTGATATCGGGATGGATATATCGAGACAATATAACATGACAGAATCTAACGAAACGGGACATAACAAAACAGAATATAACAATACATAAGAAAACGAAACAAAAATAATGAGACCAGCCAAGGATATCGAGACAAACACTGTACTAGTATGAAAAAAGTTTGTAAAAACCTTTTTCAATATTATTTATTTACTGTGATTTCGGTTTAGATGTTTTTATGTTTTTTTGTTTGAATTTGTAGGTAATATTTAAACTTTACCATTCCAATCTTACTTGCATGTAATACAAAAACAGCTTTTAAGCTTTCACAATCGTAAAAGTAATACTAGAGAAGATGAGGATGTTGAAAATGATGACGTAAGTTTAAAAACTGAGATGAAAAAGGTAGCGAATACAGGCAACGTTTTGCATTTGTAGACGATTTGAGGATTGTCATTAACGATTAACGTTATCATTATTGCAATTAATATCCTTATAACAATAATAATGATCGAATTTATTTTTCTATTATTTTTACCTATATTAAAAAAATTGCCATTTTTTTAAGAATATGACATTTTGTAAACTCGTTTGTTTGTTTTTGATTTTAGCTTTCCTTCTTTATGAAATGAAAGTTCAACTTGATTCAATTTAATTTTTTTTCATCAATGAACAGCTCTCCATGCTCCTCTCTCTCTGTGTTTTTGTTCTTTCATTCAAAAAAACTATTCACTAGGTATATGACTTCAGAACAACACATGCATGGCATACCATCAATTGATGACTTTTTATTGTAAAAACACAAAACCATATCAAAATTATTAAAAAAGTTGAAAAATGTCACCCACTAAACATTTTAAAGTTTAAAAAAAAATTGTCATTTGTCAATTATTTCAAGTATGGTTTTATAAACTTTTATTTGTAAAAATAAAACGTAAATTTAGTTTCTCAGATGAGTGGCAAAGAGGAGCAATATCTTGTAGAACTTTTATTTCTCTTTCTGCACACACATTGCTGCGTTGAGTGTGTATGGAAGATGGACTTTGAGACCAATGAGTTTGAAAACAGCGCAACGCCTTAGGATATTCATTAACAGCATATAAAAGAAATTCATATTGTTCAGTTCTGTAATAATGATCACTAAACCAGGCATCACTCCATTGTCCACAGATAAATTCACACAATTTCTGAAGGTTCTTTCGTTCATTAGGCAATAGTATGAAAGCCAACAATGCAAAAATTGCTCAAGAATTCCATTGCTGATGCCAGGGAGTGCCTTAAAATTAACTTTTGGCATTTGTTGAAAATTCTTAAAATGCTTGAAAACGCTAATTAGATGGTGCAAAAACTTCATATCATCTCTCCAGCCTACTTCCGGTTCTTTTAGATTTGGAGTACATTTCTTTGCTTTACTTTCAAAATCTTTTTTTAACATTTCATAATCTTTAAGTATCTTACTCACAAATGGATAATTCATGTAGGAGACTCAGTTGAATCGCTAAGAAATGCATCACACACGAGTCTAAGAACACGATCAAGTATGTGGTGCTGACAACCTATAAAAACTGGCGCAGATTCACCGTGTTGAACAAAAAGTTTCTGAAGTCTCACCACAACACCAGACTTTGACCCATTATTAACATTTGTAGTGTCCGACACTATCATCTTCATAGCTGCCCATAGGTTATAATCATCCAACGTTTTTTGAATAGCAAATGCAATAGTAGTAGCTTTTCCATCTGGTAACACTAAGACAGCAAGCCTCACTTATTTTACTTCATTTCTTAATAGAACTACTTGGTGTTCTTTTTTCTTAATACTTTACCATCAAAATGTAAACACAAAGTATTTATTAATGTTCTCATTACTTTACTTGTTTCTCTGTATACCGCTCTATAGACACCTGACTGAGAAGGAGTTGTTATTTTTACACCGGACTTGTTTAAAATTGTGCTTACTATGGCTGCTCTTCGAACTGACAGCTTCCCAGATTGTACAAATGAAACTGCACTAAACGTAAACTGTTGAGATTGCTTCAGATGTGTGCTTTGATCCAAGCTTTCAATGGATGACTGTGTTGTTTCAGAGTCATCAGAACTACTTTGAGAATCTTCATTGTCACTTGAGTCATTGGAACTTTTTTCAAAACTGTCTTTTTGTTCTAGTTTATCATCTCCCCATATCTTGTTCTCTAATACTGGCTACCTATAAAATATAGAACAGTTTTTAAAATTTGCACATCAATGTACAAGTCTCAATCTAAATTGTTTCCTAAATACTTAACAGATAGAATACTTAAATTTTAACTTGGTGTTCTTTTTTCTTAATACTTTACCATCAAAATGTAAACACAAAGTATTTATTAATGTTCTCATTACTTTACTTGTTTCTCTGTATACCGCTCTATAGACACCTGACTGAGAAGGAGTTGTTATTTTTACACCGGACTTGTTTAAAATTGTGCTTACTATGGCTGCTCTTCGAACTGACAGCTTCCCAGATTGTACAAATGAAACTGCACTAAACGTAGACTGTTGAGATTGCTTCAGATGTGTGCTTTGATCCAAGCTTTCAATGGATGACTGTGTTGTTTCAGAGTCATCAGAACTACTTTGAGAATCTTCATTGTCACTTGAGTCATTGGAACTTTTTTCAAAACTGTCTTTTTGTTCTAGTTTATCATCTCCCCATATCTTGTTCTCTAATACTGGCTACCTATAAAATATAGAACAGTTTTTAAAATTTGCACATCAATGTACAAGTCTCAATCTAAATTGTTTCCTAAATACTTAACAGATAGAATACTTAAATTTTAACGCCCCGGTTCACGATCGTCTTGTTCTCACTTCTTCTTAATTCATATTAAATACTCTTTTGCTAAATCTGCATTTGTTTTTTTGAGCCCTTCTTTTTGGAACTCTATACCTCTTACTCCGACTACTTCTCTATGACTTACGAAGTTCTGAACGTGTCTCAAGACCCATCTGTTTGTAAAATTCACTGAGCAGCGCTGCTGAACAAAACTAATTGATTAAATGATTGAATCATTTGTTTCTCTAACTTAAATACTTAATACATTCGTTTTTTTTTTGTGTTGTTAATTCAAGTTTTGTTTTAGTCATTTCTTGGTGGCAAATCTTTTTATCTAAATAATTTTTTTCAAATATAAAACTTTTTCCAAAAATGTTTAAGATGTAAACAAATAGTTGTTTAATATATATTTTTCATTTTTTCTGCCTTGCAAGAGGATAGCTTGGAAATAATTTTATAAAAACGTGAAAAATTTGATCCTCGGCGGACAATAAATCACCTGTTGAAGCCACATTGAGAAGTGGTGCTGTGCTCAATCAACAATTCATCATTATATCATTGTTGATGTCTTTCTATTTACTATAGCGACAAAAATTTTCACGTTTCAACAAGAATGTTACAGGACACTTTGTAAAGGTTCGCTCCTAAATATCTTTAACCGATATTTTGGTATGAAGATGAAACGACGAAGATGTTCTATCATGATATGATAGTGCGGTTTTTGGCAACATGTTAGTAGTAGTACTTGCTTTTTGTATGATATCAGTGATGTTTCGCTGTTGGAGTGAATGAAATGTTAGTGTGTGTGTGACGCAAAAGAAAACAGACTGATGCAATAAAAGGTATTGACAAAAAGGTGAAAAAAAAATTGTGACTTCATAATTTTTTCAAATACCTAGAATAGATATGTGTGTGATGCCATGCTGATCAACAGACAGAGATGACGTGAAAGTTCTTGGAAAAAATTCTGCAGGTCGAGTTGCTTGGAAAACTTTTCCGAGCACTGACTGGGTGTCTGGTGGGTGGAGTTTCATGGATTGATAAAAAAAAAAATTCAAAACATAGTAATGCAAGTAACATTTGAAAATTGAAAAGTTAAAAAAAAAGAAAATTAAATTAAAAATAATAACATTTGCAAACGAGTTGCTTCAGTTTGATGAATTGGAAGTTTGTTCATTACATAACTTTCAGAACAAATATCTGGCAGTTATGCATAATTTTGTGCTAATTCAATTGTAAAACATTTTCGAAGGAAAGTATAACAGCGTATATTTAATATGATACGTGTGAAAACATTTTCGTAACATCCATTTAAACAAATGCAATAAGTCTGTAAACTAAACGAAAGCAACAAAATTTAATAAATCAACTCTTTCACTAACTCATCAATTGTATCTGAATCGATGATAACTTGTTTCTGCCTACAATGTTGTCAGCGTGATTTGTGTTCAGTTGTTGTTCATGATTTTGCTTATGTTGTGTTTGTTGTTGAGTGTTATGTTGCTGTTGTTGTTGTTGTTGTTGAGTGTTATGTTGTTGTAGTTGTGTTGAATAAATTTGTTGAAAACGATTTTGTATGGGCATAACGTGGTAATGAACTCTGTTGCTGTTCCTCTTTGAAATCCTCACAGTGACTGGTATTTTCTTCATTTCTGCCTCTTTTGGTACTGGATAAAATCTACGTTGCAATTTTTCAAAATTTTCATTAAAATTATCGATTACATCACAATTTGATACTGCTTAGTAAAAATCTCTTTTTAACTATTTGTTAAAACTCCAATTTTTTTTTTTGAATTAAAAATCTATTCAAAATTTTTTCATTTAACATCAACAAAACAATAGTTGTAGTCTTTCTCTGCAAATATTATTTTCACACATTCCCCTTCATAATTTCAATGATTAAGCTGTGTTTATTTCTACCGAAAAACGGCTAAATGGGTGGATTCAATAAAAACTTAAAAATAATCATAGCTTCATAAAAAATTGCATCAAAAACAATTGAATTATTTTTTTAAATTTCTCGAAGAGAGCCGTCATGCTGGCAGATTAAATTTTTTAAAGTAGTTAATCTACTTTGAGATAATTTGTCATAATTGCTACTTTTAAATGAATTTTTTAAAAAAATAAATTGGTTATAGATAAAAATTTTCAAAACGGTAAAAAAATTTTGGACACCCTTCAATGTAGAAAAACATTTTTTTTTAAATAAAAAATAGCGTTTTTAGTTTAAAAAAATTTATTTTGTATAGAAAAGATATTGTGGTTATAATTCTGTTTTTTTTTTATAAACTAAATTTGAAATAGAGAATAAAAGCACCTGGCAATGTTTTTATCGCATCCCTCAGTGTTCCAGTTTGTTGTGCTGTACGCAAATGGCTCATGGAATTGCAAGCTGGCATAGAAAGTCGTTGGGGAAATTGCACTTACATCGATCTCTCTTAACCGCTGTAAGACTTCTCTCTCTAATTCAATTGCTCCACTTTTGTTAATTTCGTAATTGTTACCTTCATAGTTGCCGTTGTGGTTATTGTGATTGTTTCTGTTGCGATTGTGGATGTTTTTGATGTCTGGATTTACATGTTGTTGTTGAGCTGGATGATCTGGATGTCGTTGTTGTTGTCGTTGTTGTAGTGGTTGTTGTTCTTCAAACACCGGTGTCACGTAGAAAGAGACATCACCGTCAATATTTGTGTTGCCAGTTAAGATATATTCGTCAAATTCGTCTAAAATGTTGCTCAAACTATTGTTGTTGTTGATGTTGTTGTTGTTGCTGATGATGTTGTTGATGTTGTTGTTGTTGTTGTTGGTGACGTGAGAAATGTGTTTCACTTTCAGGTAATCGACATCCTGAAAAATTAGAGGAAAAGTAAAACAAAAGTTCAATCATCCTGTTAATGACGTTCGTAACATGATGCCCCGTGCCCGCTGCTCACTACACTAACATCCTCTTCAATCGAACTACAACGATGACGATGATAAAGACGACGACGACGATGCTGATGATGATGACGATGATGATAATGATTACGATGATGATAATGATGATGATGATGATGTCAACGTGACGATGAGTAGGTTAGTATTATTACAATTTTTGTTTTTATAGTTGTTTCAATTGTACGTAGATGACAGATGTGAAAAATTCTTAATGATATTATGGCACCGTCACTCAGTTGCCAAGTGATGAAAAATTTTGAAAAGTTGAAAAAAAAAACATTCCAATGAAAGAGGCGATGATGATGACGATTGCAGTATTGGAATCGACGACGATGATGATGATGATTGCAATGTTGATGATGATCCGATTTATTATTTCAAAATTGGCAAAAATGATGATACAGAATGAAATTGTCTCAGAAATGATTGTGACGATTAAATTAATTGCGACTACAAATGACAGTAAGATAGGAAGACGAAGATAAAAATGAGTGTGGAGTGGTGTTGATAAAGAAGATACCTGCAAAAAATAATGTGAATAGGTAGTGGAAATTGTTGCGATGAGCTATTTTTCATGAAACAAGCTATCTAATTTTCTTTGCAATTCATCACTGTCATCGGCGCATTCTCGGGCTCATTCAAGCGTGGTACTATAACGCGTGCGAACGCAAGGACCCAATGAAATGAACCCAAACAAACACACAAACAAACAAACACAAAAACAAACAAACACATATACACTTAAACGTTCATGTTATAATGTTTGTGTGTGTGTGTGTGTGTATGTATGTATGTCAGAAGATTTGTATGTACTGTGTGTTTGTGTGACTGCATGCGTGTGGGAACGTGTGTCGGTATGTATGTACTTTCGTATGAGTTTGTGAACGTGGTTTACAAGAAACTACTCCTAGCAAAGAACATTGACATAATTTTTCACCACATCACATGCTTCGTCATTTATGATCGGCACTAGCTGCATTTGTTAAAACACATACCATATAATATAACAGACACGTTTGTTTAAGCACATTTACATATGCATATTACTAACACACAAACAGACAGACAGACAGACAGACAGACAGAATGATAGAAATCGTCAAAAGGGAGTGTGTTGAAAGCTTCTGGCATGCGACAGGCATATGACTCATCCGACCTAGCAAAACCTCACGCCTCATTGTTCAAAACACCTCTCCTCCTATAAAGAGGATCACTTTCATTAAAATATTACACGTGCATGAGCCAGTCTATCCGCATACATAAAAAAAAAACATGTAGGCAGGTAAACATACGTACACGCGCAAACAAGCACACAAATATTTAAACATATGGACACGTACGACATCACAAAAATATATGCATATATTTATACACCAACACAAGCAAACGTCAGAAAACACGTAGAAGCGCAAAGATAAATCGGCACGGAACACGATTCTTCCTTCATTACTATGCAGTAATTTAAATGTTTCTAAGGAAAACTAACCCCACTATAGATATATATATATATATATATATATATATATATATATATATATATATATATATATATATGTACAAGAAGCTAGTGACGTTAAAGAAAGAGAAACAAATTTATTGATGTTTCGTTTAGCTGAAAGTGATGATGATCGTTCCAATGTTTTGAAAATTTTAAAGCATTTGACAGGAGATGTTTCTGAAAAAAATGTAATCAAAATAATGAGGCTGGGAAGGAAATGCGAAACTGTCGTTGACCCATTTTGATAAAGTTAGATTGCGTTTTACTCAGAGACTCAATAATGAGAAATGTATATAAATTCAAGTCGTTTAAAGAATTTTCACATGTTGGACTGAACTATGATTTAACAAAGGATCAGAGGCAGGAATTCAAATCATTTGTTGATAAAGTTAAAGTTATGGAGCGAGAAGAAAACAATCAAAATTTTTTGTTCAAAGTGAGAGGATAGGTAGGGAGATAGAAGATTGTAAAAATACAGAAAAAACCAGTGTTAATATAAAATATGTCAAAAATTTAGAAATAAATGATAACAATGATAAAGACTGCAACATAATAAATCGTAATTTAACACTAGGTTTATTGAACATTAGATCATTGATTTCTAAAACTGATACGATCTATGATTTGATTCATGATGGGCTAGATATTTTCGTTTTAGTCGAAACTTGGCACGGATCTTCGAATAACATTTCTGTTAAATCATCAATGCCACCAGGATATAGTTATGTTGATTTTTTAAGAATAAATGATCCTAACCATGGGGGTTTAATTATTTACTTCAGTAATGAATTTAAGTTTAAGAAAATAGATTTGCCAATATTTAGTTCATTTGAAGCACTTGCTGTTAAATTATTTATTAGCAACAAAGATTTTGTTCTATTAGCCAGGATCAGTTTTAGTTAGTAATTTATTTTTTGAAGAATTTTTATGTTTACTAGAAAATATCACTTCTTTTAGTTTAAATATCATACTTTTGGGCGATTTCAACATTCACCTTGAGAAACAGGAAGATCGTCATACTGTAAATTTATTGGAAATATTAGAAATGTTTCAATTAAAAAATTTGATCGACGAACCGACTCATGAACATGGAGGTATTCTTGATCTGATTATTTGTTCTCAAGATTTTCAGATTTCAGATATTAAGATTTTTCCCAGTGGGACTTTTTCAGACCATAGTTTAATTCAGGTTAACATACCATTAACTCATAAGCGTCCTAAAATAGTCAAGAAACAAGTTAGATTCAGGAAATACCTAAATGAAAACAATCTCATTAAATATATACAGACTTCTCCATTATCAAGGTCTTGCCAAAGCAATAATATTAATATTGAATTTGATATTATGAGTTCTGAACTCAAGAAATTGGCTGATTCAGTTGCTCCACTTCGTTTTGCAGAAGTCAGATATGATTTTAATGCTCCATGGTATGATGGTGAATGTAAATCTTTCAAAAGACTTTGTCGAAAGAAAGAAAGGAATTACAGAAAATATCAGACAGAGAAATGTAAAAATGAGTGGATAGCAGCTCTGAAAAATAAATCTAGGCTTTTTTCACAAAAAAGAAACAGTTATTGGAAAAGACTACTAGCAGACAATAGTGGATCTTCTAAAAATCTATGGAATGTTATTAATAAAGTCCTTTGTAATCAGGTCACTGGTCAGTCATTGAGTGAAATTTTTGGTTTAGATTCGTCTCAATTCTTAAAGTTTTTTAATGATAAAGTAAATAAAATTAAACAGTCTACCAATGTGTCTAATTGTCCGACTATTTGTCAAGCTCAGTACAATGGGAATTGTTCTTTTCCTGACTTCATGCTTTTAACAGAATCTGACGTTAAAAAATTGTACTCAGTTTGCCATCAAAAACATGTATGATAGATGTCTTTCCGACCCATATTTTAAAGAAATATATTGATTTATTCATCGTTTTTCTTACCAGCATTTTAAATCTGAGTCTGAGCAGTGGCACATTTCCTAATGGTTGTAAGTATTAAAAAAAGTGAATATGGATCGAAATGATTTGTATAGGTATAGACCGATTTCCAACATCTGTTTCATTTCCAAGATATTTGAACGAGTGGTTGCCAAACAGCTCTTGAATCATTTGAATGTAAACAACCTGCTACCAGTTCACCAGTCTGGATATCGCCGCTATCATTCAACGGAAACTGCACTGCTTTATGTGTTTTCTGAGTTGTTTGCTGCTTTGGACACACAACATGTGGCTCTAGTCGCGTTTTTAGATATGAGTGCGGCATTTTATTATGTAGACTATCAGATTCTCTTGGAAAAATTGGTTCATGATTATGGTATTTCCGGTACTGTTATCAAGTGGTTCAGATCATATCTGTTTGACAGAAAGCAACAAGTAGTCTTCAATAATGTGTTATCTAATGAAACGGTTTTGACATCAGGAGTGCCAAAAGGTTCAGTGCTTGGGCCTATTCTTTTTATCATGTATACCGCTGAAGTTTTTAAAGTAAGTGGTAATTTTGGTTTTTAATATCATGTCTATGCTGATGATATTCAGATTATAGTTAGTAATAAGCCAGAATTACTGCAATCTGAAATCAACAAACTTGTAACCTGCCTAAATAACATAGATAATTGGATGTCAAACAATGGTCTTAGATTAAATCAGCAGATGTCAAAATTTGTTCCAATAGATACATGGCAGCAGCTGATAAAACTTAATATCGATTCAGTGAAAATAGGAGATGTTAAAATAGAATTTAGTGACACAGCAACTAATCTGGGTTTCATTCTTGATTCTAGATTATCGATGCATGATCATATAAAGATGATAACAAATTCTTGCTCTGGACAGATTCGATAACTCTATAAACTCCGTAAGTCATTAGATAAATCTGCTATTCATACCTTGGTGCATGCATTGGTTCATTCACGATTGGACTATTGCAATGGTCTGTTTTACGGTTTGCCCGATAGGTCTATTTCTGCAATTCAATCTATTCAGAATAGAGCAGTCAAATTGATTGTTGGAGGTCTCAAATTTAACCATGTTACTCCAATTCTT